ACCCAACCTGTCCGTATGATCAACTTCGTTATGGTGGAGCCGATTGTGGACAAACAGCAAACAACTGTTTTGTCGGCGGTTCAAAGGATGATGGTGCGCTTGCAGAGACATGGGTATCCGGTGTTGAGAATCCACTCAGATCGAGCGGGGGAGTTTGTCAATGCACGCTTCCGGTCCTTTTGTGAAACTCGTCTGATATATAGGACCACTGGTGATCCTGGAGTCCCGCAAACAAATGGGCGCGCTGAAGCATGTGTGGGTTTATTCAAACGTGGTGTCAGGTCGCTCTTAAAGGAGGCGCGACTCGGGCCGGCGTACTGGGCACTGGCTGCTCGCCATTGGTCAATGTTACGGTGGCAAAAAGCTGAAAGGGAGTTGGGGTTAAATCCTAAAGCATTGCTTCCCTTTGGTGCTCAGATTCAAGTCAAACGTCGTCCGTGGGAGTTGCTGGGTCCGGATGGAACAAAGAAAGGTCGGCAATGGGTCGATCGTACGCAGCCCGCGCTTCTTTTGGGTCCACGCGATGACCTACCTGGTGGTTATTGGGTGGAAGCTCAAGGGACTGCAAAAGATCCGGATGAACTGGTGTTATTTCCCTGCACTACGATTTTTTCCAATATAAGGAACCGCCTGAATTGGAGCTGGAAGGGGTGGTAGAAGAACAGGAGCCTTCTCCTCCAGAGCATCGTCTCAAGGGGAAAAAACCAGCGCTTCGGTTCGCTGACGAGGAAGGTCCTCCTTTGCCTCCGCCTCGCGATCCTCCAGTTCGCCATCGGTTGATGGAGAAAAGCCCGGCCTATTCACTGCGTGGTCATGTGGGCTCCTTGCGCTTGCTCCGCAAGCGGGGGGAGAGTCCGCCCTTGGAAATTTTCGAGGATGACATGCAGGGTCTGGGGGAGCTGGAAGAAAATGCAGATGTTGAGGACAATGTTCCTGGTGATGAGTATTGGCCGACTTGCTGTTCTCCTCATGAAAATGCTTATTTGGTCTGCAAAAGTGAGACTGCTGAGGATGGAACACAGTTGGAGAAAGAAGAGCAAAAGGCCAAGTCAATGTATGAAAGGTCTATGTATGATTACGTGGACTGTGAGGAGCTTTTGGAAGGGATTGTATACCCAAAGAGGGTGAATCGAAGAGGTGGCATCAACAATTGGTGTACAAGTACGCGAGCTCTGGTGTTGGGCCACTATACTCATGGTGGAGTGTGTGGTATTACAAAAGAGACTCATCGAAGACCATGGCTATGTCGTTATTTGGCATCATTCGTGAGGCACCACAATCCTGAAGCCAAATTTTCTGCTCTTCAGATCTCGTGCAATGCTCCGGTGTCATTGCATAGGGATAGTCACAATGAAAAGCATTGCTGCAATTATGTGTGTGGCTTTGGTGACTATAAAGATGGTCAGCTGTGGGTTGAGGATGAAAAGGTTTTAGAGGAAGGAGCTGAAGTGGTGGAGCAATCCTATGGGAAGAAAGTCTTACCTGGAAAATTGGTGGATATCCACTGGAACTTCATGTCGTTCTTTCCGAGAAAACTGCATGGTCCTATGCCTTGGAAAGGGAACAGGGTATCCTTGACAGGGTACACACCTGTTTTTATGGAACGTTTGAGCTACAAGGATAGGTGCTATCTTCTCCAATGTAAGTTTCCTCTTCCAGAACCACAGGCTGAAGAAGGTGAAAAAAGGAAATGGTTAAAAATGACGTTGAAAGAGACCTCGCTGGACGACCTTGCAGAGGAAGTCGACTACGCTGTGTTCGAAGCGCATCAATGGGCTCTAGAGGAGCATTTGAGTATTCGACGCCTAATTGCTGAACAGGAATGTTGCATTTTGGACGAGTTCCATGGATCGGCCAATGAGTCGAATGAGGAAAAAGGATCAGAGACTAGATAGAGAATGGCTGGTTAAAGCGAAAAGGGCTGAGGAACAGCTCTCGAAGTTTTTGGTCAAAGCAGCTCAAGTTCAGCAAATGGTACAAGAAAATACCGCGCTTGAGGCAGCAGAGGAGGTTGAGTTCCTGCAGACAAAAACAATCCCTACACAAGAAGCCATGCAAGAGCTGGAAAAGTGGAGGGAATCATTGTCGGACGAGGTGACGTCTTTGGTGAAAGAGTTGGAGGTGGTGGAACCAACAACTCAAGAAAAGCTGGACAAATTGGCGGAAGAGCCTAATGCACCATATGGTGTGGATCATCGCTGGTTTAGACATTTCCAAAGCTTTTCTGACGGCGCCGATGAATAGGGCGCAAAGAGAAGGGCGTCTGGTGGTGGTGCAGCCCCCAAGGGCGGCGGTGAAATTGGGTCTTTGCACAAAAGAGGAGCGGTGGATTGTGAGAAAGGCCTTGTACGGTTTGGCCGAAAGTCCTGCAGCATGGGTGGAGTGGCGAGACCAACGTCTTCAAGGTATGTCTTGGGTATCAAAGGATGGACAAGCAATGAGCTTTCAGAGGTCCAATGCAGACCCAAGTCTGTTCCTTATTATGGCACAAGAGAAGCCGGAAGGTGCAAGCAAGTTGGTAGGGACAATGGGTCTTTACGTGGATGATTTTTTGATGGCTGGGACTATGACAGTGCTCCGGGAAGCCTTGGAACAGATTAGGAAGGAGTGGAAAACTTCTGAACCCGAGTTCTGTGGTCCAGGCTGTGGTGATGGATTCCTGAAGTTTTTGGGTGTCCAAATCTGGTATCGAAATGGCAGCTTCTTTCTCAACCAGGAGGACTTTGTGAGAGATTTGCTGAACCGAAGAGGGTATCAGATTGATGAAACTGGAAAAGGTAGTAACCTGCCAATGGTGAAAGAAACTCCAGGTGAAGAAGAGGAGGTGGATATTCCTTCCTTGCGAGCGGCTCAAGGTGCCGTAGGGGAGTTCCTCTGGGTGGCAATCAAAACTCGACCTGATTTGGCGTTCTGCACGAGCCAGTTGTCTTTGTGGACATCCCGAAGGCCGCGATTTGTGGTTAAAAAGGCTGAGGAGGTTTTCCGATACCTTGCTGCAACTCCAACGTTAGGCTTGACGTTCGGAGCAATCGCAACATGCGAAAAAGAAAGAAATGAGGTGTTGCGTTATGGACGAGGCGTCAAGGTGGTGGAGTCCTACGCGGATGCTAGCTTTGCAGCAGGTGAAAACGAAAAGAGCCACTCAGGAGCGGTGGTGGTTTGGGGTGACTGTCCAGTGATGTGGGCAACACAAAGACAATCAACGGTGGCGTTAAGTACTGCTGAAGCTGAATTGCATGCGTCCATAGAGGGAGCAACGATGATTCAGTCGTGCACCCCTATAATTGCCGCTTTGGTTGGAACAGGTGAAGAATCACTGCAAAAAGTGCTGTATACAGATTCGGTTTCGACATGCTCAATCATTCAATATCCTGCTGGAAGCTGGAGGACAAGACACCTGAGAATTCGAGCAGCCGGTGTCAGGTCTCTGGTGGACCGTGGTTATATGGTGATAGCGCATCTTCGCGGCGAGTATGATCGCTGACCTGTTGACCAAATTGATGAGTGGACAGGTGTATGCAAAGCAAAAGGCACTTTGGGGTCTCCGACTGTTGGTGCAAGGGACTGACTTGAAGAGGGCCTCGCTTGCAATGGCGGTCATGATGGTGGCTGCATCTCTGCAAGGGATGGCAACTGGTGGAGAAGAAGTGTCAACTGCTGGATTCTTTTGCTCAGAAGAAGGGGTGTGCAAGGTCGCCAACACATCTGCGGTGATGGTTCTGGCTCAAGGTATTGAAATGGTTATCAACAATTCAGACCTTGTTGCGTATTTGGTGGCAGCAATTATACTCTGGGAATTGGCATGGTGCCTCTTTCGACGGCTGCAAAAAATGGCTGTGGATCAAGAAAGCGGTGGTTATTCCTGCGAGTGCCACTTTGTATACAACAGTGGGTGGGAACTGTATGCACGCAAGCAGTGACTGTGATGTTCTGCGATATTCACAGCCCAGGGCTAAGACGCTTAGCATTGCCTCAAGGATGGCTGGGTGGTGAATGCTGAGTTCCTTGGTGAGGAACGGGCCGCTGGAACGTGAATTTTTTCAAGTGCAAGGTGAAGAAACCCTCAATGGTAAGGGATTCGGCCAATGAGCTATAATTTCGTCCTGGATGACGTAAAACCATATTGTGCATTTCAAGCAGCTGGCTGCTGCCTTAATGGCAGTTTTTGGCCAAAAGATCTGCACCTCCAATGTGTCCTAGGAAATCCTAGGACAGGGGGAGTGCGGAGCTGCAGCTGGTATTGTAGAAAGGAGTTGGTGTTGGGAGTTGAAAGGGTCAATGTACCCGGAAATTCTTTTGGCTCAAGAAACCTGGGCAATGCGTCCTACGGAAAAGGTGTGTTTGGTTGTGCTTTGGGTTTTGTTTTTGGTTGTTCCAGGGGAATCAAGGGTTTCCGTTGGGGTTGACTGTTTTGTTCCCTGTCCTCCTTCGGTTGCCCCCCGTACCCTAAACCCTAAACCCTAAACCCTAAATCCTAAACCCTAAACCCTAAACCCTAAACCCTAAACCCTAAACCCTAAACCCTAAGTTTAGGGTTTGGGGTCTAGGGCATGAGAGCATTTAAGGGTTGGTTTCGGGGCTGTGGCTTCAAAGTTGTAGTCCCGGAGCCCTTGAAACCCTCAAAGTCCCAGTCCCTAAGCAAGTTGGGAGCCTGAGCCCTAAACGCTAAACCTATATAAACCCTAAACCCTAAACCCTAAACCCTAAACCCTAAACCCTGAACCTCAAGGGGTTCAACCCCAGGTTTCCCAGCCTCCCGCACCAAGCAGTGGCAGAGGATTCGGGTCAAGTTGCCTCTAAGGGGGTTTCGATTAGGGTGTAGGGTCTGTGGTTGAGGGTGCCCGATGCTTCCCTAAACGATCCGCAATCTGTGGGTCAAAGAAGTTCTCCAAGAGCCCTATAGAACCTCTAAACTCTCAACCTGAAACCCCCTAAACCCAAGCCTCTAACCCTAAACCCCAAACCCTAAACCCTAAACACAGTGACGGGGGGGTTGTAAGGTTCACGTGTCCGGCTCCATCGTGATATGGGAATACGTCCGCCAGGCACGCCCCTGAGCGCTTACTTCGGGGCCTACTTGAAAGTTTAGGGTTCAGGGTTTAGGGTTTATGGTTCTACAGAGAGCTGTAAGTATCCGAATTCAGGTGTGTATGTGGGTTGAACAGTTCTTGTAACCCTACTTACAACTACCTGTGAGCCTTCAAGTAGGGCAGTGGCATGGCATCGAGTTTGTCGGAGCTTGTGGCTTAGGGGCTGAGGGTTTGGGGTTAGGGTTGCTGAGAGTTTAGGGTTTTCGGGGTTAGGGCTAGGTTGGTGCCGGGAGTATGGGTCTAGGGTCCAGGGAGGATACCCAGCTCAAGAGACTGACCTCACCTTACCTCTAAATCCTAAACCCAAAGCCCAAAACCCAAAACCGCAAACCCTAAACCGCCACAGGAAGGTCATTCGCAACCTTGCAACCCTCCCCTGCCCTCAAATCCAAGGCTTCCCCTGAAACTTAGGGGTCTTGGCTTCCCTACTAGGGTTTGGGGTTTGGGGTTTAGGGTTTAGGGTTTAGGGTTTAGGGTTTAGGGTTTAAGGTTTAGGAAAACCAGGTAGATGGCTTATAGGTTTCGGGCTTCGTGAATTAGGAGGTAGGGCTTCGGGTCTTCGGAGAGGTGGGGGTTGCACTGCCGCCGACCCTACCCTGAGGTACATTAAGTCGAGCCGCGCCTCCCTGGCCTGTGAACCCCTACCCTAAAATAGGGTTTAGGGTTTAGGGTTTAAGGTTTAGGGTTTAGGGTTTAGGGTTTAGGGAAGCCCTCAAACCCCTGAGCACTCAACCTTAAGCCCAAAGACCCCAAAACCCCAACCTGCAAGATCTTCACAAACCCCAAACCCCCGCCCAACCCAGACCCCAAAACGCACGGACCGACCCTAAACCGTCCGGGGCCTTTCGGAAGCGCCTCCGGAAACGAAAACCCGCTCCTGAAGGTTATACATCTGGCTTTTTTCTTGGTTTATGCGCGACCTTAAGCCCTAAACCCTATAAGCCCTAAGTGTTTTTGCGGGCGCCCTCCCCCCCGCCCGCCCCCCCCCCCCCCCGCACCCCACCCAAAACAAACCATGCCGAAATCGGCCCTCACAAGTGGCGCTAACTTTCAGACTTAAGCACCTGGTGAAAAACCCTAAGCCCGAACCCTAAACCCTAAACCTTAAACCCTAAATCGCAAGCCCTAAACTTTAGGCCCTAAACCCTAAACCCCACACCCGAATTGTGGGGCACGTGGGAGTTTGCTGCCCTTAGGCTCGTCTTCGCACTGCTCACGCCGCAGCTTCGTGACAGGCGCCTGTGGCAGAAGATGATGGGAGCCGAAGCCCTAAGCCCTAAACTCTACCTGTCAATCCTGGCGGAAATTTCTGTCCTTATGGTTTTTTTTCTGGCTTTTCGGGTGCAAAAGCGAGGTGTTGGTGTTCTATTGGGATCGGGGAATGCGATCAAAGCGGCTGGATTTTCGGAGTTCAAGGGGAACCTTCCCGAGCCCTGTGCAGAGTCTTGTGCACCAAAGAATAGGTGACCTGAGCAGGACACAAAAAAGCGTACTCTGAACCCAACGTTTTTCCAACACAATGTTGGGTTTTGTTGGGTTTTTGGGGGGTAGCCCAAAAAAACGTAAACCGTACCGAATCCGTACTTTGTTGGAAAAATGTTGGGAAAATGTTGGGAAAATAGCGTACCCAAAACCCAACGCAAACCCAACAAGAGGACACTTTTTCTTAAAAGGCCACTTTTTCTGCAGAATTGTGTGGGTGTCTGGTTTCCACCAGGAAATAGGTTTCTGACCATCATTAAAGCGGACGGTTTTTTTGCGCGGCTGGATTTTTCCGGCCTCTTCAATAGGACAATTTTTTATAGAACGGGGGATTGACAGGTAAGCCCTAAACCCTGATACACTCTAAGCCTGAGACCCTAAACTCTAAGCCCAAAACCCTGATACACTCTGAGCCTGAGACCCTAAACTCAAAGCCCTAAACCCAAGGCTCAAAGGCTTAAACCCTAAACTCTGCAAAGCCCTAAACCCTAAACTCGAAGCCCTAAACCCCTGCGTTTTTGGTGGGGTTTGGTGGTCCACGCGCGGCTGTCTTGCTCTGTTTCGTGAGGGTCGCTTGATCGCTAAGCCCTAAACCCTAAACCCTAAACCCTAAATCCTAAACCCTAAATCCTGAACCCTAAACCCTAAACCCTAAACCCTGAACACAAGGGCGGAATCCTGGGTGGACCCCGAACAAAATGCCTAAACCCAAAAGCCGCGAAACTTTGTAGAGCTTCAACCCTGAGCCCTTACACCCTGCACCCCAAACCCTAGACCCTAAACCCTAAACCCTAAACCCTAAACCCTAAACCCTAAACCCTAAACCCTAAACCCTAAACCCTAAACCCCTAAACGTCTCAACTCCGAGGCTCTCCGACCCTTTCTGTCCAAGCCTGTAATCAAGGAGTCTCCCTGAGAAGGGTTTAGGGTTTAGGGTTTAGGGTTTAGGGTTTAGGGTTTAGGGTTTAGGAGTAGTATCGCCTGATTACCCCCATGCACTTGCAATGAAGGCTACGCAGAATTTCCATAAGCCGTCAGCCCTAGAGCCAAACCCTAAACCCTAAACCCCCAAAACCCCTAAACCCCTCAACCCCTAAACCCCTAAACCCCGAAACCCCGAAACCCCTAAACCCCTAAACCCCTAAACCCCTAAACCCCTAAACCCCTAAACCCCTAAACCCCTAAACCCCTAAACCCCTAAACCCCTAAACCCCCCAAAACCCCCCAAAACCCCAAAACCCCTAAACCCCTAAACCCCTAAATCCCTAAACATCAATGTTCGAGCACGGCATTGGAGATGCCTTCGGAGCCTGACACAATTTGGGGCAGCTCTCCGAATTCTCGTCTCAATCTGTGCAATCCCGCTAGTTCTTAGTGCCTCATTCCCTCATTCACTGCTGGGAACCAACCAGTTGTGCACCATAGGGGCCGGAACAACTAGTAACATTATTCGCCCATGGTCCGTTTATAACTATACTATGTAACCGCCCCAAGCCCTATTCCAATTTCTAAGGCCCCTACATTACCCCGTGTGTGGCAACATGTTCGACAATGATACCCTAAACCCTAAACCCTAAACCCTAAACCCTAAACCCTAAACCCTAAACCCTAAACCCTAAACCCTAAACCCTAAACCCTATGTTAAATGGGACGGCCCCTGGTTGAGTCGAACCGTTTTGGAGAACCTGCGCGAAGGTCTTCTTTCATCCTAAGCCCCTAAGCCCTAAACTCCCGAAACCCTAAGCCCTCAACTCCCGCCCTAAACTCCCTAAGCCCTAAACTCCCTAAACCCTAAACTCCTTCAGCCCTAGATCCTAAACCCTAAACCCTCCGGTTTCCGAGAGAGAGAGAGGGTCTGGGTCGCCTGGCCCTCGCTGAGCAGGCCCGGCGCCTGCCTGAGCCCTGCGAGATTGGTGACTGCCAGGACGACTACGCGACGCGCGGCGTACTATAGGGGATTTCAAACCATAATCCCTTCTGGTCCCTTTCTAATTATACTACAAGAAGCCCCGAAACCCTGTTGATTGAAATTATTCAGGCCCCTATACTAGGATGGGGATTCGGGGGTACCTTATTGGGTTCCTTATGAAAAGGGGGATCCTACTATTTGTTAGGGGTCCCTTATTATCGTAGGGTGGGGATTCAGGTTTAGGACTCTTTTGGGGACCACATGAACCCGAAAACGGTTTATGGTTCCGATACCTTAATAGGAGTTACAGTAGTATCGGGTATGCTAGGACCCAGAGTAGGCCCGTACTCCTTTTTGGGGGGCTTCTATTCCCTTACCCTTTCAAGCCAGAAGGACCCCCTTTTAATTTCTAGGTTGCTCTTGGGTCTAGTTGTGCTAGTGCGGATTTCGGGCTTACATGTGTAGTTTTATGTTGGTTCATGTGGGTTTACACGGGTTTAGGGTTTATGGGGGGTCATAGGGTTTATAGGGTTTCCAGGGTTAGTACGGTTTATGTGCAAGCAAGAGTTTAGAGCTTAAAGGGGTTTATTTGGGTTAGAGGGTCTACACGGGTGTATATGGGCTTATGCGGGTTTACATGGGTGCATAGGTTTTAGGGCTGAGGGATTTAGCTGTTCCACCCGTGACGCCAAAACCCCAAACCGTCAACCCCGAACGCTAAACCTTGTCGAAACACTCAACCCTGAACCCAAAGCCCTCAACCTTCAACCGTAACTAAGCCTAAGCCCTAAACCCTAAACCCTCAACCCTAAACCCTATAAACCCTAAACCCTAAACCCTTAAGCCCAGGATGCAGACACGCGCGCCCTTGGACGCCCCAGGCCGAGTGGGGGCCGTCAGGGCCCAATGCCCATGAATTGTGGAAAAAGGTTTAAGGCTTGTAGGTTTCTGAAAGGAAGAGTTAGAGGGTCGAGGATAAACCCATGCACCCTTTTTGAGGTACAGTATCCCTGACTCCCTGCCCCTTAGTTCGGGGAAAGCTGTTCAGTACATACTGCGCAGCACCTTCACAGTTCGCATTCTGGGGGTTTAGGGTTTAGGGTTTAGGGCTTAGGGCTTAGGGTTTAGGGTTTAGGGTTTAGGGTTTAGGGTTTAGGGTTTAGGGACTACCCCTTAACTAGCCTAGACCCCATAAAGCTGCAGGTAAACAGGGGTAGGGTTTAGGGTTAGGTTGAGCTGAGCGCAGAGCGCCCGCCCGGCCCAGTTCCGCGGCTTTTCGCCCAGGCGCGGTGCGCATTTTGGCTTCGAATCGTGCGTCTAGGTGCGGCTTGCCCGCAGATTTCGGGGTTTGAGGACTGCATTGTCGAATATCGAACCCACCTCGACGGTCCCGCGCACTTTCTGATGCTCGCATCGCTCCGCGTAGCGAACGCGTGGCGGGGCGTAGGATGGGTTCGCCTCGCGCGTCCGTTCTAAGTCCGACTGCATGTCAATGTCGCAGTGTTGGAAGCGAGGCTCCCGCGTCAGTCTCGTGCGCATGCTGATTCTTGTGAAGTGCCGAACTGCTATCGCTTTTGACAAGGTCGCGGTCTTACTCTGTTTGGGCTCACGCTGGCACAAGTTGGGGCAACTTATTGGACGAAGGGGCCCTAAATCCTGAACCCAGAAGCCCTGAACCCTAAACCCTGAACCCTGAACCCTAACCCTAAGCCCTAAACCCTCAACCCTCAACCCTTAACCCTAGACCCTAAACCCTAAACCCCAAACCCGAAACCCTAAACCCTAAACCCTAAACCCTAAACCGCAAACCCTAAACCCCAGAAGCCCGAAGTGCTGCCTAGACCCTCAGCAGCTGTCTATACCCCCAAGCGGTCCGTTCGAAAGCCCGAACCCAAAGCCGCCAAAGCCCTTTGCGGTTTAGGGTTTAGGGTTTAGGGTTTAGGGTTTAGAGTGTAGGGTGTAGGGTGTAGGGTGTAGGGTGTAGGGTGTAGGGTACTTATACCCCAAATATTACTGTACCTAAGTAGGTTATAAGCAGACTTAGAATTGGGGTTCTAAGTGGCCAAAACCCCAAACCCCAAGCCCCAAGCCCCAAACCCCAAACCCCAAACCCCAAACCCTAAACCCTAAACCCTAAACCCCAGACCCTAAACCCCAAACCCCAAACCCCAAACCCCAAACCCCAAACCCCTCACCCCAAACCCCAAACCCCAAACCCCACACCCCAAACCCCAAACCCCAAACCCCAAACCCCAAACCCCAAACCCCAAACCCCAAACCCCAAACCCTAAACCCTAAACCCTAAACCCTAAACCCTAAACCCTAAACCCTAAACCCTAAACCCTAAACCCTAAACCCTAAACCCTAAACCCTAAACCCTAAACCCCCCAAAAACCCCAAACCCCAAACAACCCCAACCCCCCCCAAACCCCAAACCCCAAACCCCAAACCCCAAACCCCAAAACCCCAAACCCCAAACCCCAAACCCCAAACCCCAAACCCCAAACCCCAAACCCCAAACCCCAAACCCCAAACCCCAAACCCCAAACCCCAACCCCAAACCCCCAACCCCAAACCCCAAACCCCAAACCCCAAACCCCAAACCCCAAACCCCAAACCCTAAACCCTAAACCCTAAACCCTAAACCCTAAACCCTATCCTAAACCCCAACCCCCAACCCCAAACCCCTCACCCTAAACCCCAAACCCCAAACCCAAACCCCAAACCCTAAACCCTAAACCCCAAACCCCGAAACCTTTTCTCTGGCAGGTGTGCCCCATCGATCTTCTCCGCTCCTCCCGCACGACCGACCTCCTTTAGCGCGAGCTCTGAGATCCAGCA